TCTTTTCTCAAGAATGCATTAAATTCCTCTATCTCATTGAATATCCATTTTTCCCCCCGAAGGATTATAATCAGTTTTGCTGGGTAGGTGATTCTTGGTTTTAATCCTAGCTCCTTTGACCTCTGAAATATCATGTTCCAAACCCTCTGATCTTGTAATGTAGACACTATTAAATCTTGTGCTAGCCTGATTGTGGTTCTACAGTACTTGAATTGTTTCTTGCTGGCTGCTTGCCATATTTTCTCCTTGACCTGAGAACTCTGGAATTTGGCTATAATGTTCCTGGGAGCTTTCATTTTAGGAATATTACCATTCAAGAATGATCAAGGAAAACTGTCCTGATATTCTGGAACCATAGGGTAATATTCCCAATATTTTCATTTTGGGATCTCTTTCAGGAGGTGAATGGTGTACTGACCTTCCAAGTTGTCTTTGGTGTTTGTGGGCTGAGAAGTCTGGAAACTGCCACTGCTGCCAGTGTCTGGTCTGTGCTGGTGCAGCCTGTGCTAAACTGTGCTCCTCTATCAGCCTGGTGCAACATACCTGTCTTGTTGACCTTCTAGGTTGTCTTGAGCTGGAAATTTGTTTCACTCTGTATTTTTGTGGGTTCTGCTGCTCTAGAATTTTTTTTAGAGTAATTTTTAAAGGTATTTGGGCAGGTTTGGGGGAGAGCTGCAGTGAGTTCCTGCCTTTACTCCACCATCTTGGCTGCGCTCTCCCCTCCCCCTCATCAACCTTCTCAATCAAATTCTCCCAGCCCTTATTCTTAGCCAAAGAGCGATTTACCCCTTCCCTTCTCTGCTTTAGAGTATAGGCTATGTTCTTTCTCTCCCACCCACCTTTCTTCCCATAATATTTTTGAGGCTGGAGATAAATATTGGAGTCTTTTTTATTTACGTTTCTAGCTCTCTGCCCCCTTCTCTGCTATAGTCTTTTATGTTGGGAAGCTTTCAAATACTTTTGGAATAGATCTAGAGGGACTGTCGGCAAGACTAATGTCTTGTTCCTAGGATCATATCTTTTACTTTTCAGGTCTTTTTTCCCTCTAAGATTTGTATAAATATTTAATGTCACTAGTCAACCTGTGATTGTGTGATGTTAGCTATTTTTTTTTAACGTGCAATGGGTTTTAAGTGACTTGCCCAGAGTCACACAGCTAGTTATGTGTCTGAATCCAGATTTGAACTCAGGTCCTCCTGAATCCCAGGGCCGGTGCTCTATCCACTGCACCACCTAGCTGCCCCCAATGCTTTTTTTTAACCTCAAAATATTGGACACTAAATTTAATGTGATAAAAATTTAGATTAAGATGTTTTGAGTAGTATGGTCTATCAAGCAGCTGACCTACCAGGTAGGGAGTCTTAAGATCTTGGTCCCCTATCAGTGTTTTTGAGGTACAAGATGGTCAAAATAACTTAGAATTTATAACTGGAAGAGATCTTGGAGATCAGTCAGGCCAATCTTTTCATTTGACAAATGAGGAAGCTAAGGTTCAGAGATGAAATACTTTTAATATACTTTTAATGCTTTCTTCTTCAACAATAATTCTTTCTTCTATGCTTTCTGGAATATTTTTATTGTTTACAGACAACGATGCATTGAAATGTGAAGGCATTGCTCTTCCATAGACAGACGGAACGGAAAATGTAAACTTGATCAAATTATGACCAGAGGATTTCCCTCTAACGGAGGTCTCTGTTTCTTCTCCTAGAGTGATCTTTAGGCCTCTGTGGGCAATTGTCCTCTGTGGGCAAATCTGACTTCAAATGCATCTGTAATAATAGATGGATTAATTCTTTGATATATTTAATACATATTTATTTGATATATTTAAGAAAAATTATTTAAAATGTTAAATAATCACTTTTTATAGTGACTAATGAGCACAAGCACAAAGCCATGTACATTTGTAGCTTCTATTTTTTTTAATTCTGAATTTAATGAGCACTAAAACCAGAGAAAATTCCCACATACTATGTGTGTGTGTGTGTGTGTGTGTGCCCACATGCGTATGTATGTGTGTGTGTGTGTATAGGATTATACAGGGTGGTCCAAAAGTCTCAGTGTGGTTTTAAGCCCTTAAAGCTTATTAAAGCCTTTTGGAACACCATCTATGTGAAACCATGAATCTCTTGCTTAAAAAAATATATATATAAGTATTTAATAAATTCATTAAGTTACAGGCTGTCCAGCTTGTCTGTTTCCTTATGAACTTCCCTTCTGTCCTCTGTGCATTTTTAAAAAATACTTCAACAACTGTCCTTTCTTTTCTTCTTTTTTTCTGGAAACACTATCACTAGCTCCTTTCTTCCCCCCAAAGCCTCCTTCTCCTTCACCCCACAAAAAAAAAGAAAGATACAATTCTTCTAACAAATAAGCATAGTTAAGCAAACCAAACGTTGTGGCTATTTTTCGTAGCTCTTGTGGCTAAGGTATTCCATAGCTATTTGTTTTCTTTTCTATGTAAATTCAAATTTATTTTATTTTCAGGTTTTCATTTTTCCCTATTACCTCTTCCTCCTTCCCCTTGCCTCCCACTGAGAAAGCAAGAAAAACAAAATCTATCACAATGTGTATAGTAAAGCAAAATAAATTTGCACATTGGCACTTTATAAAAAAAAAAGCCTCAATCTGCACACTGAGTCCATCACTTCTCTGCCAGGAGGTGCATAGTATGTTTCATTACAAGCCCTGTAGAGTTGTGGTTGATCATTATGTGGATCTGAGTGCCTAAATCATTCCAGATTATTTGTCCTTTACAGTCTTTTTGTCATCATATGAATTGTTCTCCTTGTTTTGTTCACTTTGCATCAGTTCGTACAAGTCTCCCCAGATTTCTTTGGAACCATCCTTTTCATCATTTCTTGCAGCACAATGGTATTCTATTACATTCTGATGCTTGTCTAGCCATTCCCCGATTGATGGTATTCTTTAGTTTCCAATTCTTTGCTACCACAGAAAGAGCTGCTATAAATATTTTTTGTACATAGGGGTCCTTTTTCTTTTGCTTTTATCTCGTTGGGGTATAGACCTAGTATCTGTATTGATGGGTCAAAGAGTACGCACAGTTTAATAGCTTTTAGAATATAGCCATTTGTTTTCAAAAGAAATCTGAAACAAATTCTGAGAGCTCTATGTGATAGATATGTATGGTACCTGAAACATCATTTTGAAGACAGCCAGTCACTTTTGAAAACTGACGATGAAAATAGATTACCAGTTTTTTTTAAAGCCCTGAATCATTTTTTCCAAATAACTTTCTATCTTCTTTCCAACACCATCCCTTACCATCCCATCCATCTCCTGAACAAACAAGCAAAAAAACTATCATTGAGCATCCCTGTTGTGAGATAAGCAATTTTTTTTTTGCTTACTCAGTGGAAAGATAGGGTGATTTTAGACAGATTGCTAGAGGTTTTGGGTATTTATTGAGTTCCTTCAACCTAAGCATAGACCCAGCACAAAATGAAGATTTAATTTAGGCTATGTATGTAGTCAAGCTGAGGCAGCTAGGTGGTGCAGTGGATGGAGTGCCAAGACTGGAGTCAGGAAGACCTGAGTTCAAATTTGGCCTCAGACATTACTAGCTGTGTGACCCTGGGCAGGTCACTTACTTGACATCAAAGTAAGGTAAAAGTCACTATTCTACTAGGTTCATCAAAGGATCATAGACTTAATGTTGGAAAGGACCTTTGAGATCATTTAGTCTAACTTCTTCCTTTTACAGATATTACATTTATAGATGAGGAAACTCAGGCACAGGGAAGTGAAATGACTTGCCCAAGGTCACACAGCCAGTGCATGACAAAGCTGGGATCAGTGTATTAGTATTCTTCTTTTCGACCATGATCAGTATGAGCCCACTGCTTAGGGGCTGCTTAGAACACCAGACATACCTAGTATGATTATGATTTTATTTTTTTCTCCTAATGACCTCAGTATTATAATTTCTTTGAAAGTCTGTTCATAATAGTGACTTTTACCTCACCCTGTATATCCCAAGTGTAGGTCTTTGTTCAGTGCTCCCTCTTTGGCTGCATCTCTCATAATTTATGTATTACTTTGTGTTGTGGTTATTTTTTCGTCTTTCACTATAAGCTCCAAGAGGGCAAAGACAGTTTTTTATTGAAATCTATCATCTTCAGCATCTATCACAGTGTTATGCACACAGTAGGTACTTACTAAATGTTTGCTGAGTTGGATGGGATTGGAATAAATTCATTCTTTTTCTTTTTCCCAAGTAAAAAGATGGTTCCGTCAAAAAAAAAAAAGGTCTTTATTTCATTTTTAGGGAAAAGTGTTCCCCTTGGGTTTGATCTTCCAGAGCAAGTCATACAATCCTTTGGAGTGACCTGCTTCCCTATGTGAGGGCTATCACAGATACTTGTGGTCCAGTAGCACAGGGTTGTTGTGAGACTCAAATGAAATACTATGTCTAACGTACTTTGTGAACTTTATATCGCTATCATTCATCATTATTGTGTTGTTATTTTAGATTAAACATTTTTATTAGAAATAGGATATTAAATATCGCTATGAACAACCAAGCTTGCTTAGTAACTATTTACAGTTAGTTTTATATTAGGTCCATTCTTTATCTGTGTAAGATAAACTGCTCTATTATTTAGATATGAGTAATAACTTTCATTTTCTTAAAGGACTTGCGCATTGAATTCATTTATCTTATTAGCACAATGGCTCCCTTAGCTAATGTCTCACAGATCATAGACTTTAAGATGCATTGGTTTAGAGCTGGAAGGGACCTTGAGATCACTTAGTCCAACCATTTTAGACATGAAGCCTAGAGAAATTAAGTGACTTTCTAAGATCACCCAGATAGTAAAGGGGAAAGTTAAGATTTGAATCCAGGCCCTGTGGTTCCCAGTGCTGCACTCTTTCCACTGTATCACTCAGTTTCCATGCTTGTTTTTTTTAATTAGACAGAAATTGAGAGTATTTTTATTAATATTTTCATTTTCTTTTTCCATTCACTTGCTTAGAACTATTTTGATGGAAAGCTTTCCCCTCAAGGGAAAATGCCTTGGATTGAATACAATCAGGAAAAAGTGTCTGGCACAGAATTCATCATTGACTTTTTGGAAGAGAAACTTGGAGTGAACTTAAATAAAAACCTTGGCCCCCATGAAAGAGCAGTGTCCAGAGCCGTGACCAAGATGGTGGAGGAGCACTTCTATTGGTAAGTTTGCTTTAGGAAAAGGAGATATGCCTGGTGAGTAGCAGATTTAGGGTGAGTCAAGAAGGGAAGCTTCTTAGTGTCCTCCAAAGGAATACACTCAATGCTTGCCTGTCTCCATTTCTAGGCATTCTCCCACCTGTTGTATGAATTTGGGAAGGGAAATCTGTGATTTGATTTGGGCTTGAACTTCTTACTCAAAAAGCTGGAATGGGCTGAGGTGATAGAAAGACTTCATGAAGTTGGCATAATGACAGCTCAGGAATACAATGTGCCAGGCTGAAGAAATTATGAAGGAATTATGAATATGAAGGAATTATGAATAATGAAGTATCATTAGAAGATTCTTGAAGCATTTTGAAGGCTTCAAGTGAAAGAACGCTGGTCCTGGAATCAGATAATGTACCTCTGACACTTGCTACTTGTGTAACTTCGGATAGTCACTTAATGTCTCCTGGCCCCAGTTTCTCTGTTGGTAAAATGAGGACTTTGGACAAGATGGCTTCTGAGGTTCCTTCCAGCTCTAAATTTATTGTCCTCTTAATTCTATGAGTGTATGAATCAAAGGTGTACAGCATTTTATATCTTAATAATGCTTTTTGCCTGGATGATTTTAATTCCTTTCTTTGTTGCAGAATTAACATTTCCTTCTTGAGTACCGTAGAATCTCCCACTTCTTGTTTTTCTATCAAAAGATAATGCTTATCATTCATCATTATCAGTTACCCTTGTAATTGTAAGCCCTGAGGGCTGTGCTAAATTCTCTACAATGTAATTTAAGTTGATATGGTTTCTCCGTTTATTTGTTGTTTTTCATCCCTTTCCCTTAAATCTTTTTTTTTTTTTGAGAATGTAATGGCCTTTTTTGACTCCCTACATATAATTGGAAGCTTTTTTTTTTTAAAGCAAACTTTCACTTTTTCTAGGGACATAGCTATAAAAGTCCTTTGGCTTCTTTGACATTAAATGCAATTCCTGTAATAATAATGATAATAACTGCATTTATATAGTGTTTACTATATGCCAGTCACTGTGCTAAGCATTTTACAATTATTATCTCATTTATTACCACAAGCCTAGGAGGTAGGTGTTATTATTATCCCAGTTTTAAAGATGAGGGAACTGAGACAAAGGTTAAGTGATTTGCCCAAGGTCACACAGCTAGTTTCTGAGGCCCAATGGGAACTCAGGTCTTCTTGACTCTAAGCCTAGCACTTTCACTACTGGGCCACAATGAAATAGATCCTGTTTGATAATCCCAAAGAATTACTTAGGGTGGGGAATCTATCTATTCCTTTTCTTGTTATTTTAGTCTGAGGATGGTAAACTGCTCTTCCACTCTATTTTCCTGTAGTATTTGTGTTGTGATCTGTTCATCTGCCTCTTGGGGTTGAAAACTTGCTATTATTTTCTTTTTACTTTTAAAAAGATCCATTCTCTTAAATTTTTGCTTCTGGCCCCTTTTCTCTTGGGTTAACTTGAGGCTATTTCCCCTGAGAGGCACAGATGCGGGGCTGGTTTCTGACTTGCTGGTTTAGAGAATGGAAAGGGGAGGCTGATTGAATTGGCAATGGGAACATTAGGAAGGATTTTCAGGAGCCATTTAAATACCCAAAATGTTACTCTTCCAATGAAAGGGATGAAGAGGCCAGGAGTACAAGACCAAGTTGGGGGAGGAGAAGATACAGATAGACAAAGGGTTTTTTCACTGAACAAATGTTCTGGGCATGGAAACAACTGGGACAGACTTCAGTAAAAAAGCAGTGTTTCCCTTGTGACTGGGTTTCCTCATTAACATTTGTGTGACTTCTCAGAAAAGTCTTGTGGGCCATATCTGCCTTACTGACCTCCCAGACACAAGTTTAGGCTTTTTTCAGAGCATTCCTCTCCCACCCCAATTATCCTTAAGGAAGGGGAGCCTCAAAGTAGCTTGGGAAAGTGACTGACAAGTCCATCGATAGAGAACATTCTCTTCTAAGATGCCTGAAAAACTGCTCCCCATGAATACTAGATAATTCCCACTTCTGATAGGTGTCTAACAATAATGGTGTTTGGCTGAAGAGGAAAAGTAGCTACTCCCTCTCTCTGTCCCCCAACTTTATGGAAATGGGCCACTGTGTTCCTAACACCTTCAGGTATGGCTTTCTCTCTAGTCACTGTTTTAGGATCCCTCTTTGGAGAATGCATTCCTTTCAACCTGAAGTGCAAATGGAATCTTGGAGAGGTGAGTTGCCCAAGGCCATTGCCTCAGAAAGGGACTTTCTATTGTTTCCATTTACTCAGCCTTCTTTTCCCATCACATGGTCATTCTATGGTTTAAGCCACTGGGAGACTATGGCAGGACCTGGCAGCCATTTTTCTGACTCCACATATCATTGAAGTTATGATTCTTCTTCCTTTGTTTCCTGGGACTTCTCACTACTGCTACCTCTTAGCAAGCTTATATTTTCCCCGAGTATCTCAGAGATGGCTCGTTTATACCCAGGAGAATCCTGGATGATTAGAATTCATTGTGATCTCTGTTTAAAAGCAGTTTAATAATATTCTCTAAGAGAGGCTATATAGTGTAAGTGGATAGAGGGCTCATTGCAAAGCCAGGAAAACCTCAGATACGTGCAGACTGTGTGACCCTGGGCAAGTCACCTTTAGTGCCCTGAGCAGCTCTAAGACTTAATTTTCAGAGAAGGTGCTGACCTGCATATTGACAGAGGGAGTTTCCTCATCTGGAAATTCTCTATACTAATGAAATCATAGGCTAGGTCACTATTTCTAAATATATGCTATCAATACAAATCTCTTTGGTGTGTTTCAATTCCCTCACCCCGTAGAAATACTAGCAACTGAGAAGAGAATCTTCTCTCTCTCTGTGTAGCCAATCACAATCTGTTTCTCTTTAAAATGCTTTTGAGCAACATGTAATGATACAATAATGCATTGGTTAATCACAGTTTTATCTTCCTGCTGGCTTTTAGAGATTGTTGTTATTGTTGAGTCATTTTCAGTCATATCTGACTCTTCATGACCTCATTTGGGCTTTTCTTTGCAAAGATACTGGACTAGTTTGCCATTTGCTTTTCTAGCTCATTTTACTGATGAGGAAACTGAGGCAGACAGGGTTAAGTGACTTGCCCAGGGTCACACAGCTAGCAAATGTATGAGGCCAGATTTAAACTCAGGGAGATGAGTCTTTTTGACTCCAGGCCCCATACTCTATCCCTTGTACCACTTAGGTAGAGAGAAATTCAAAATAGAATTGAAAGAAACAAAGGTAAGCTTTGAAATGGAGAGAGCAGAGTCTCACCATCACCATTCTCTGCAATAGGGATAGCTCCACCCCCATTCTACATTGGCTCCTGGTAGTCCCTTTTTATTCAGTCTTAAGTCTTTTCTCTTTTGGTTTCTTCCTTGCTCAGGGCAGCAGCAGTACTGCTGAGTTCATATGACCAGCATGCCATTCTGCTGTCCTTTCTTGGATTTTTAGCCAATGATCATTCTCTGGTTTAAGCCACTGGGAGGCTGTGGCAGGGCCTGGCAGCCATTCTTCTGACTCCACATGTCATTGAAATTATGATTCTTCTTCCTTTGTTTCCTGGGCCTTCTCACTACTACTACCTCTTAGCAGGCTTACATTGTCCCTGAGTATCTCAGAGATATCTCTTGCTCTTCCCTTCTCCCTTCAGAAGAAGCTAAGCATTCAGCTATAGATTCACCATTCTTCAAGGTTCAAGCAGATAATCACTGAGCAACCCCGGTTAAATACACATATATTTTTTGGATGTGACTTGTGATTTAATTGATATAGCAAACTCCTAGTGCTATGAAGGCAGATTGATACCTGCTTTTCAACCTGTAGTCTTGAGAAGTTGCCTGGGACAAAGAGAAGTTACACGGATTGCCCAAAGTCAGACAGCCAGTATGTATCAGAAGTAAAACTTAGAACCCAGATCTTGACTCTGAGCTGGAGGTCAATTATGCCCACTAAGTCCCAGTTTTCTTTTTCTGACTTTGATATATGTCAGTGAGAACTTGGAACATTTTACAAGGGAAGTAGGAGTTTTCTTTGATTTGTGCTTGATCAGAGAGTAACACTGTATATAGCCTTTTCCTGAAGTACGGGTCACCTATTCCTTAGAGATGGTGGAAAGTTGGGGGACCCCAGATGAAAGCCACAACTAATTTTAGCAGCCATATTATTTGATCGGTTTTAAGTATAGCTTCTGAGCCCCCATGGAAGAAGTGTATAGAGGTACCCTCATGAAGCATCTTGCAGTGGGATAGGAATAAAGTCAAGTCTTCCTTTCAGGGCCCCCCAAAATCTACTCTTTTGCTTGGATGGCAGTAGTTGCACACTTTTACTTTTCCTTAAAATAATTCAGAAACCTTAATTGGATATTTTCCATTAAATAATGCAACTCAACTTTTTTGTGTATTTGTTTTTCATGAGGGAATTATTTTGAGGGATTATTTTTTTCTTTTTCTTAGTATTCTGAAGAATCACTCTTGCCAACAGGCTCTGGGGACACTAAGCAAAAGCTTTTTTTGTATTAAAAATCATGAACATAGCTGTTCCCAGAAGCTAGGTAGCTACTTGCAGGATCATTTGAGCTGAGGGGAGGGCTTCACCCTCTCCTATTCTTTTTCTGTTCTTGGATACGTACCCAAATAGATTTAGTGGCAGAGTCATGAGAAAATGGGAGCTGAGTTTAGGGCCATTCTCTTCCTGTGAAGCTATAATAGTCATTCTTCCTTCCTATAATCCCACAGTGGGCATTTCTCCACCATTAGTGAATTATAACTATGTGTACTCTGTTCAGGGGGGTAAAAATACAGCCCAGTGATTCTAAGGACATACCAGAATGTGTTGGAGGCTATGAAATTAGCCTTATAGTAAAATATTGCTGAATTCTATAAAGCTGAAGTATGAGGCTGTGTGTACTCTCACAAAATAAAAGAGAAAATTGAAGTAGCTATCCAGAAAATGATGTAAGCCCTCCTCCCAGTTCTGCCTTAATTATTTGCCCGTTTCCAGTTAAAGTGTCCCTTTTTGGGCCCCTGAAATCATAGAGTAGAAGAAGTCAATGTGGAATAGTGGATGTCAAGCTAGTCTTAAAGCCAGAAAGAGCTGGGTTCAAGTCCATCTATCACACAATGGTTCCACGACTCTAGGCAAGTCAGTTAACCTCTCAGGGCTCTAGGCAGTTCTCTAAGACTAAAAGTTGCAGAGAAAGTGCTGACTTGCATTGGTGGAGAAGCTCCCTCATTTGGGAGTTCCTTATATGAATGAAATCACAGGCCAAATCTCTATTTATATATTCTAGTCCTGAGTTTCTGAAGAACATATCGCTTATATACTCAATATAGGAATGAACATCCTTATCCCAACTCCCACAAATAAATTGGGACCCCAATAAGAGTAGCTACATATCTCCTCTCAGGATTCTAGGGGCACCCTTGAGGGGTGAGGATGTGTTTCTGATATTATTGGCTTGAGCTCACATTCCTGTTCTCTCCAGCGTTAACTGCCAGCGATTGGTCTTCCAGTATCATTTAGCCAATTAACATCAAGTAGCTTTTATAAAGGGATATTTACTGAGAATATATAACATGAACAGAGGGGCCATCTCTATTCGTCCTGATCTATATCTTTCCAGTGGACCCAGATGGCTCCAGAGGAGAAAGTGAGGCTAATGACTTTGTACAGCCCTTCCTCACTTAAATCCGATTCACTTGCAAGTCATGGCATCACCTTCCTGATGTCAAGGGTCCTCTTTGAGAAGGAAGGACAAACAAACGACATAGCATATACAGAAGTACAAATTATTCTCTGAACTCTCCCTTTGATCACATTAGTTCCTGGGAAGATTAACCTTAAGATTAAAGCAGTTGAAAAAACACTTTTGCCCCATCAAGTTCACTTCGAAGTATGGTATAGCGTGCTGGTTAAGTCCTGTCCTCAGCAACCTGAAGGCTTGGGAGTTCCTTAGGTCACTCCCTCAGGGCAGTGCTGGCACATCTCCCATCTCAGTTTCTAGCAAAACCCCGAATGTACGTTGGTTCCTGGGCCCCTGGTGGTGAGCCATTCCTACCTCTTGAAGCACATAAGATTGTAGCCATGGGAAAGAACAAATGCAAAGAGGCAAAAACACCGAGAAAACAGGCAAACAAACAAAAGACAGAGTTCCATATTCATGGGCTACAGGTGGGTAGATAGGCAAGTGAGAGCTGGAAGTTATTGTTCCTGCCTGTCTCAGAAATAGCTGCGCTACACACTCTTGGCTTTGTGGCAGGAGAGATCTCCCACCTGGAGACCCACAACAACTCATCCTTCTCGTTCACCGCGAGGGAAGGAAAAGGGCCTAGGTGCCCCCTTTGGACATCTTTTGTATGCATTCCCAGTTCCAGTTTAGTATCCAATAAGAAAACCATCTCTTCACCATGTGATTAGTGTTAGTGTACTGGAAACAGAATACTTGGGCATAATCCAAAGTCCATGTTGAGAATTGCGTCCAACAGAGCCTATTGTGCATGCTCGTAAAGACTGGCCAGTCTCTGTCACACTTACAATATAATTTAGGACTTTGTTGTTGTTGAGTCATTTTCAGTTGTGTCAACTCTTCATGACCCCTTTTGGTGTTTTCCTGGCAAATATACTGGAGTGGTTTGCCTTTCCTTCTCCAGCTTATTTTACAGATGAGGAAACTGAACCAAACAGGGTTAAGTGACTTGTCCAGGGTCACGCAGCTACTAAGTGTCTGAGGTGACATTTGAACTCAGGTCTTTCTGACTCTATAGGCCCAGCACTCTATCTACGGGTTCACCTAGCTTCCCCAAAGTAAGATATTACTGTCTAAGAAATGACAATATCCCATTAAACAAAATCATTCCTTGGTTTAATTTTTATTCTATTCTTTTGAGAGAAGTAGTGTGGTATAGTAGATAGAGGATTGTCCTAAGAGTCCAGAAGATGTGGGTTCAAGCCCTGCTTCTGATAAGGAATAGCTTTGTGACCCATGGCGAGTCATGTAACCTGTCAGTGTCCCAGGCAGTTCTCTAAGGTACAAATCAGTTGCTGACTAGCAGCTTCTGTTCTGTCAGTTCCCTATACAACTGAAATCACAGGGCCACATAAAAAAAAAAAAGAAAGAAAGAAACCCAACAAAACCCCACAAATTTTGTTAAGAGGTAATAGAAAAATCATTAGGTTTGATGTTTATCTTGATTTCCTTTAAGAAATTTAAGCACCTTCCTTCATTCTGTGATGTTCTTTGCCTTTCTCTGCTTAATCCTGGAGGCACTTAATTCCTCTATCTCTGGCCCCCTTTCTCTGCACTAATCAGAAACAGCACTAAAGTTTGGGAGAATGAGTGTCTCAACTTCAGAAATAGGCTCACAAGATGATACATGATGTTAATTGCTTAGCCAACATTAATTTACAAATTGGCCCTCACTGTCATCCCCAGCCAATAATTCAAGAGTACTGTTGGCTCTTTGCCCAGTCAAGAACATTGGTTTCCAGAAGAGATATGGGAAAAGTAGAATCTCTCTCCCCCCCTCCCCCCAATCCCTTACCCTCAGATTATTTCTCTTCTTCATGTCTTATCTCTTAAAAATACTTTGGCCCAAAGTAGGAATGTTTGGGAATTTATTCAACTGAAGCCTCTTTGTGTATGATATTCCTAGGGCGTAAATATGGGCTAGGGAAACCATACGATACAAAGGAAGAGTGTAAAGATTTGGAGTTAAAGGCCTCAGATATGAACTTGGTTCTGTGATTTAGTCTATGTGTGACCTTGGGCAAGTCACTTAACTTTTCTGGGGGTCTTAGTCCCTCATCTGTAAAATGAGAGAGTTGAAGTAGGTTGCTTCCAAGGTCACCCCTCTCAGACCTTGTGAATGTAAATTATTTTGTTCTAGGGCACCAGAGTTCCATTAGTTAAATCACCTTTTCTAAGAAACCAACTCCCATCAACTATTGTTAATGCCATAGGTGGTAGTCCTTCTTCTCTGAAAGAATCAGTTAACCTCATATGGATGACCTTTAATTTAATTATAATTCTTTTGCCTGTGATTAGATCAAGCTCTTGTAGAATAAAATAATATGCCTTGGTGATAGATAATAGGCAATGGTTTATTGAATTATTGTTAAAAAAAAAACCTCACATCTTTTGGTCATTGTCACTCACATTTGTTTTTGTCTTTTTTTGGTGAGGCAATTGGGGTTAAGTAACTTGCCCAGAGTCACACAACTAGTGAGTGTTATATGTCTGAGGTTCGGATTTGAACCCAGGTCCTCCTGACTCCAGGGTTGGTGCTCTATCCATTGTGCCACCTAGCTGCCCCTGTCAGTCACATTTGACTTTTTAATTTTATCCCATAATATCTTTAAACACAAGTCCCCAGGAGAAGACCATTTTCTATGGACTCCTGAAGGAACGGCCCAAATGATTCACTCAGATGACTCTTATGTTCATATTGGTTATAGCACTCTAGAAAGAAAACCTCAATCAGCTGTTGACCTTCTGAAGAGTAATACATACTATTATTATTGTTGCTACTATTGATAGTTAACATTTATGTAGCAGTTACTATGTGCTAGGTACTGTGTTAAGTGCTTTACAATTATTATCTCATTTGATTATCACAACAATTCTAGGAAGAAGGTGCTATTATCATCCCCATCTTACAGATGAGAAAACAGAGGCAGAGTTAAATCAGGGTCACACAGCTAGTAAATGTCTGAGGCTGGATAAATCCATTAAAAGAAAAAATATACACCAGATATGGACAAGTGAGTTTCATTAAAAGAACAGAACTATCACAAGTCCTATAAAATTATTATTTTTTTGGAGGGGAAGTTTCTATAGTAAAAAAAACCAAATCCCCAAAGCAGGAAAGGAAGTAGAAAGCATGTAGAATAGAGAAGCAAGGAGGCCTGATTGCACAGGTTTTGTAGAATGGTGCCATGGCCTATCCTTAGAGCTTTTTAAAGTGACATATAAATTTGTTTTGTTGTTATTGTCTATGAGTACAAAATGGTTCAACATTTGGTCATTGTCAGTCACATTTGGACTTTTTTTTTTCTTTTTGGTGAGGCAGTCGGGGTTAAGTGACTTGGCCAAGATCACACAGCTAGTAAGTGTCACGTGTCTGAGGCCAAATTTGAACTCAGTTCCTCCTGATTCCAAGGCCGGAGCTCTATCCATTGTGCCACCTACCTGCCCCCCCACAATTAAACTTCTAATTTTATCTCATAGTCTCTTAAATCTAATCCCATTGCATTCAGATATCTATTTTTTTGAGGCCACAAATAGTTGTTTTCTCTAGAATTCAATAAATTCTAGAAGAGTCATTCGGAAGTGTCTTTAGAGAAGCATTTTATATCTAACACTCTTATTTACTTGTTTCTTCATCCTTCTAGGACATTAGCTTATTGCCAGTGGGTGGACAATCTCCATGAGACACAGAAGATGCTTTCTCTTAGTGGTCCCTTTAGTGACCTACTCAAGTGGATTCTCTGCCACCTAACGAAGGGCATTGTGAAGCGAGAAATGTATGGCCATGGCATTGGTCGTTTCTCTGAGGAAGAAATCTACATGCTGATGGAGAAAGACATGCGATCTTTAGCAGGGCTTTTGGGTAATGTACAATGCCTTTTATTGTGTGCTGTATTTTTTATTTGGTGTCAGTTTTTTTGGGGGTATTTCTTTCCTTTATGAATCACATTGTGGTATCACTATTTAATGGGATGCTGGGACTTTTCCCAGCTGCTGAAATTTAGAGAGATGTTATAGTATTTGTACTTCTTTAATGGGATGCTGGGACTTTTCCCAGCTGCTGAAATTTAGAGAGATGTTATAGTATTTGTACTTCTTCAGCAGGTAGAAATAACTGAACTTAGCACCAGTTAGCCAGAATAATTAGTTAAAATAAGAAGATTGTATGTTTTGAGAATAGTTCCACACACTTTGCCAGACTACCAAAGTTTCTATACCAATGTATAGAAACTCCTCTTGATCTAGGGCATAGCTCCCAGAGCATTATTTCAGCTCTTAATGAAGGAATTTTATGGATAAATTCCCCTGCCTTCTATAATTTATGAGTCATTCCTTGGCTGGCTTTCCTTTTTTCCATTGTCTGGTGCACACCATAGGAGAACACTCAATAACAGTTTTGGCAAATAACCAAAGGCCAATATTTGGTTTAGAAAAAATTATCCTACCTTATTTAGGTAAGACACAAGGATGGAGAACAGCAAATTCATTGAGTTAGGCCTTGGAGAAATGTGATCTACTTAAAGGGGCCTTGTATATAAATAATATCAGCTGGCCTAGAACTTTGTGAATCCTGTAGAGGTAGTTGGAAGTCAACATTTTTCTAATAATAAGGAATTACTGGGACATTAATGAATAGATGAATATATAGGTAATGAAGAGTGATGTTTTTCAATGGACTCTTTTTTTTTTTGGCAATTGGGGTTAAGTGACTTGCCCCAGGTCACACAGCTAGTAAGTGTCAAGTGTTTGGTCTGAGACTGGATTTGAACTCAGGTCCTCCTGACTTCTGGGCCAGTGCTCTATCCACTGTGCCACCTAGCTGCCCCCTGGATATTTTTTTAAAGGGTCAATTTTAATTAGGTCCAAGGAAAACCAGAGTGATGCCTTGTGGAGAAATAGTACAATCTCCATATTGGTCACTCCTTAATTAATTGATCGCTTAAATCACATCTAACACTTCACCTCTCCTCTTAGTCTTCTAATAATAATAGTCAGTATTTAAATAGTGTTTTAAGGTTTGCAAAGTGCTTTACCAATATTATCTGATGTTATGCTCACAACAATCCTGGGAGATAATGTGCTTTACTCCTATTTTACAGTTGAAGAAAACGAAGCAGACAGAGTTAAGTGATTTGTCTAAGACCATGCAGCTAGTAAGTATCTGAGGCTAGATTTGAACTCAGATCTTTCTGACCTTCTGAAATAGAAAAGGAGGTAAAAGTAAAAAATAAACTTAGGATCATAGATCTAGTACAGAAAGGACCTTAAAGACCACCTAGTCCAACTCTGTTATTTTACAGATGAGGAAACTGTGGTCTTGGAAGGTTAAGTGACTTGCCCAAGGTGACGGAGATAATAAGTGCCAGATGTGAGATTTGAACCCAGGTTCTCTAACTTCAGAGCCAGCATCCTTTTCAATATACTACTTTTCATAGTTGACTCGGATCCTCAATGAAAGGTGATTGTCAGTGGTTTCTTTTCATTTTTCAAGGGAAACTAAGGGACATCTTTGAGAATTTCTGCTCCCACTAAAAAGAGAGGTAGGCTTTGTAGACCTCGTTAGTGACTTGGCTAAAACTTCAGTAAGTGACCCAAAGGGCAATGGAGAAATGCCTGTTGGGTATAAGTGACTACAGCATACTTGCAATGCTGACTTGATCACTTGAACATAATAGAGTTGAATGAGTGTTGGATTTGGAGCCAGAGGCCTGAGGTCAGGTCCCAGCTGTGCTATTTAATACCTTAATCATCTTGAGCAAGTTTCTGAACTTCTCTGGACCTCAGTGTACTCATCTGTAAAATGGAACTGGATGGCCTCTGAGGGCTCTTCCAACTCTCAATCTACCCTCCTGTTCTAAGAGGTTTGGAAGCATCATTAAAGAAGTATGTTATTGTAAGAGAAGGTAGGCTGGTCGTTCATTGAGAATGAGGTATGGGAAAACAACCTAAATATTGTACTGGTACCCACAGAATGTTAAAGATGTAGAGGATGGCCTTTAGTGTATTGGGGAAGTTCTTTGGGGAGTATTTATGAGAGGCATGGATGGACAAGGATCATAGGGATGAGAAGGTGTGGATAGAAATGGATAGTGATCTATGTTAGTGGACAGAATACCTACACTGAAATATTAAAGAAGTGACTTGAGTAGAAGTCAAAAAGCAAGTGTCGGGGGGGGGGGAGTTCCCCTGTGGGAGGACACCTCTCAAACCTCAGTTCTGCTGGTGAATTCAGCAATGACAAAAAACATCTGGAGAAAAAGGTCAAAAGCTCCCTTGATCTTGTTCATAGGCATATTGTTCATAGATTTAGAGCTGAGAGAGCACTGAAGGTCATTGTGTCCAACCCTGTTATGTAACAGAGGAAGAAATTGAAGCCAAGAGAGGTCAAATTACTTGAGCAAGGTCTTACAGTGGTCAAACCGGGCCTTGAACCCAGTCCCTCTTACTTTCAATCCTGTTCTCCATTGCGCTACATAAATGTGGGCCATAAATGTTGGCCTTCATGATTTGTGTATAGCAGAGGGCTCTGGGTGTGCAAAGGGGGCAGTAGGGATAAGGAAGAGAGTGTTTGAGAAAGGAAGGGAATGAGCCAGAGTAGAAGAAAGTTGGAATTGGAGAGGAGAGGAGAATATATGGTTTATAAGAAAGTGAGTTGACAGATTCAGAGCTGTAAGAGACCTTAGAGCAGGGATTCTTTTTTTTTTGGTCATAGCTCCCTTTTAAGTGCATAAAAAATACATAGGATTACAGAGGAAACCAATTGGAGAAATGATTGTTTTTCTCTTGTATTAATAGCTAACTATTGAATCAGGACCAAGGTTTTCCCCCTTTTCTGCTTCCTCATCCAGAAATCAACCAGTGTGGGAAATTTTGCTCAAAGACTTTCCCAGGCTAAGATCTAATCAGATAGTAAAAGAAATCCCAAGTCTGGGCCAATGGAAGGATTCCTGCTCATTGTGTTTACTCAGACAGATCTGGGAAAATATAAATTCTCCCTTTTATCAGACAGGTAATGTCTCTTTGACCAAGACTTGGGTAATCCAAGTCCCATACTCCCAAGACCTTCATTAGAATGAGCCCACATCTCATTATAATATTCATTCTCTCATTAATTGTTAACCAATAAGAGTTGATTGCCAGTCTCAGGAACACCTACTTCTCCTAGAGCATATGAACTATGAGCCCACCACCATGACGGGTCTTTGGCATTCCAGAGTGTCACTGACCTCTTTTTGTTAATAAATATATTATCCTTATTAATAAAATGATTAAATTACCCAGAAACTATGTCTTTTGAACTTTTTATATGTCACACCAATTGTATTTAGATACAGTTATTAAAATATAAGCAAGAAATAAGTTTACAGACCTCAGGTTAAGGGCCCCTGCCATAGAAACTAACTCTCTCATTTTGTGGATGAGGAAACTAAGGCAGTGAATTAATATGTAAGGGAAGATTTGAACTACGGGCTTTGTGATTCACATTATAATGTTCTATCCACTTCCATATCTTTATAGTTCTTTGATGCTGAAAAAAGCATGCCCATGTCATTTTTACATTGTAATGGTGGCCTATAGGAAACAAAAGTTTCTAGTGTATGATCTTCCCTCAAGGCTTACATATTGCAGTGTGTCCCAAAAGTCTTAGGACAGAAGCAGCTAGGTGGTGCAGTGGATAGAGCATTGGCCCTTTAGTCAGGAGGACCTGAATTCAAATGTGACCTTACATACTTGCTAGTTGTGTGACCCTGGGCAAGTCACTTAACCCCAGTTGCCTCTAAACAAAAAGTCTTAGGACAATTTTAAGCTTTCACACCTATTAAAACTTAAAATTTCACTCTTATTCAGGTAGTATTTAAAATTACTTTAAGACTTTTGGGACACCCTGTATGTGTAATTATAAGACAGTAGATTTTTTTCTTTTTAACAATGAGAGAAATTCTGATTAAAACAATAGCATCAAAAATTTTTCCTCAAGTACACAGATATCTTTAACTAATGACTTGAAGACTAAAATGTTCTAGAATTTTAAAGAATTGCTTACCTTGTTAAGCTTTGGCAAAAGGGTTATAGTTATAGGATTGCAGATTGGGATGTGCTGGAGCCAACTCCATCCAGCTTGAACTGATAGTTAAATTTTCAGTGTGAACATTTATACTTTGGAAATTAGCACACTACAAATCAGAGCTTGATATATTGTTTCACTGATTATTTAGACTTAACAAAGTGATGGAGAACGTGCTAATAATGCAGGTTAAACTGAAGAATGCATCCTGAATATACCTTTTTTCCCAGAGAGCTGACTGTTAAATATTTACCAGCATGCCACTGATAATAGAACTAGAGGTGGAAGGGGCCCCAGAGACCACCCAGTATGACCCCCACCCTTTTTCTTTTACAAATGAGGAAACTGAAGCCGAGGGAGGATGAGTGATTTGTTAAAAGTCACAGATAGCATCAGAGGTAGGATTCAAACCTTTAGCACTTTTTCATTTAGAGTTTTAATCCTGTCTTCAAGCTGCTTTGTGGGGTCAAGTTTTGTATGTTCTGCTACTAAATTTTCATTAAACAACTTCAACAACTCTTTTTTTTTTCCATTTGAAAATGTTATATACAATGTAGATTGGCTCATGAAATATTTTAACCCTGGCAGGAGATGTAGTCAGCTAGATAAGATGTGAGATATGGAAAAACCCATCCTGGTAGTATCAGCACTTTGAGAAAGGTGGTCTTTTAGATTGTAACAGTGATAGTTTGTTGTTTTGTACTGTTTCTACTTGCTCCTAAACTCTTTACTGTTTCTATTTACTCCTAAAGGAGTAGGAGCAACTAGGTGTCACAGTGGATAGAGCACTGGCCTGG